GAAGGCAATCACTTTTGAAGACTCTATCACCGTAAGCAACTATGTCTCGCTTAGATTAAAGATCACTGTAGAATTCTAGGACTTAACGAATATTTTGAGAATATCGAATAAACCTTTTATCCGTTCCTTATTAAACTCGTTGTGAGTACGTGTTTTCAGATTACCGCAAGGGAAGCCGATTATACTAAAGAAGCCGCTAGCCCACTACGTTCCCTATACTCTGGTAGCGATGCCAGATTCAATTCGTTTGTACACTCGTATGCCATTGACTTTGCCTTGGGCGTTGTACAATCCAACGTGATCCTTGCATATTCGCTGCTAATGTAGCATCTTCAAAAACACACGACGCGAATGGACATACGTTGAAGCAAACGCCCTCTAGTATTAGCCGCTGCAGTTTTTTTTCGAGGTGTTTAAGCTGTTACGTTAGCATAATCCCAAACTGATTAACCACCTCCTTAACGGAAAGGGCTCATCGATAAGAAATAGCATTTAAGTCATTGAGGAATATAACACATTTGAAGAAATTATACATCTAGGAATTTGTATTATATCCGGGTTGAGCATGCGATACACTTATCGCAACAGTGTTTTTCTTGTCGGTGGTCTATAAAAATATCGTTGTATTCTTTCTAATAGGGCCTTGAAAATGGGGCACACAACCACAAAAATATAATACTCAGGTACCTTTAATAACATCAATAGTAAAACAAAATGTGAATAGAAAAAAAATTAAAGTACCATAACATAGTTATTCAGTAAGATTTTGAAAGTTTATCAGAAAGTAATTTCTGGTGAACATAGAACGTTGCTAGGCAAATGACCGAATGAAAAATATATTTCAAGTGTCTGGGTTTTTTATATAAATTATAATTTGGGCTAATTATACAAATCTTTGTTATCCATCACCATTTACGAAATCACCGAAATGTGTAATGGTAATGTAAAAATTATCAATTTTGGCAAACCCGAAAATATGAAGAATATTGGCAAGTGGACGAAGAGAACGCATCCTAAAATAATTTTCATTTTTTTTGAAGTAATAACGTAACGAAGTAATACGTAAACAGTATAATATGACTTTACATTAACACGAGCTTTAATACTCGATTCGGATTTTAATAATTTATAATAATAATATATAATTAATTAATAATAATATTAATAAATTTATTAAGTTTTGTTTAGCTACTTCTATATACGGTTCTGATGTGAAAAGACCTAGCCAAGGTTTGACATGTTGTCAATCTCCGATCAACAGCGTAGCTTTTCCAATTTAGTGGCCACGACAGAGCCTATCCCTAATCAACCTGCAAAAAAGAGCGAACCTCAACATCACGCAACTATTCACTCGCCCATTTTTGCTCGACTGCAGAAGGTGGGTGACGAGGCGGGAAGCGTGAAAGCCATTGACCAGATCGCCGATATTAGAAAGTGATTGATGGCCAGATGAACCATACGCTGCAACCATTAGTACCAATAGCGACATCGGGTCGTGGTTTACATAGTCCTTAATGTTCAGCAAATGACAAAAGGCATAGCTCGACCGCGAAGGGTTGTTGCCCGCAGAAAGAGATTAAAAAAAGACCAGACGAAGACCGTAGATGTAAACGACCATACGACATACACCAGATCTGAACCCTACAGACTTCAGGATGAAAAGGCGCCGAAGCTGCACTGCGACGATTAATTGAATTGTCTGAGCGCCATATTCGCTGAAGGGAAAGTGCTAACGACGCGCAACCGTAAGGTAATAGTCGATCAGGAAGGGTCTCGGCAAGTGTGCTGAACCAGTAGGACAAAGTTACGAAGGTCACAGCTGCACGGGACGCATACAGGTGGTGTGTGTAAGCGCAGCCACTGGTAGCGATGGCTAAATCCAACGGTTAACAATGTAGCGAATAAGATAATGAGATTCAAGCGCCGCTAGGGTGTCCTAGCCTTCTTTTGACATCATGATTCTCCGACCAACTACCAGGTTCAGTGTATCAATCTTTTGTTTAATATCTGTTATGAGAATGAATATTTAACATGGAAAAAGGCTTGTACGTTTAGTGAGGGTATGCAGACAATCCTAAATCTAGGAGCAATATTGTGTTACGTATTAGCATGGTATTATATGTATCGGCAGGAAAAGAAGGGTTCATACAATGTGGGAAACTACATATATATGTATATATATATATATATATATATTTCTCCCTAGCACGATCATTCTTTAAATTTGAGGATCAATTTGAGTTCTTTGAGAGTGATTCTGTCAGAAATATATCATTGACATGTCACAGCACCTAGATTGGGATTTTTTAAAACCATATTATTATATTCAACGAAATTTTACAGGTGCCAGGGGCGGCATTTTTGGCAGTTATACGGAATAAATTCATAACCACCATTCATTGCAATCACAGCTCTATTGCTGAGCTGAACGATTCACTCGACATTTTCAAATATTTTTTCTCTAGTTTATAAGGAACTTTTTTGTGGTAATCGTGCGTAAAGCGATATTAATAATAGTAAATGAATCTAAGTATTGATATACTACATTCTCAAAAAATTCCAGCGGCGTTAGATTTTGAACAGAGGGCAAATTAAAAGTCCAAAAAATGCAATGGCTCGAAATCGTCGAAAAGTGCAGAATGGCACAAAAAGTCTAGAAAAACTAACTATTCAGGATGAACGGGCATTCATTTCTGTACCAAAAATCCAGGTGTAACAAAAATGGCTTTTCAAGCTATTTTGATACATTTTTGGATTCTTTGAATCAAAACTCTACTGAAAAATCATATGAAAATCTCCTCGGGCTTCTTAGAAACCTCTTGATAACTGATAATAACGTAGACCGCGTATTTCAGCCAACGAAGACTGTTTTTGATTTTATTGAGGGTGCGTTTAGGGGGGAAGACAGTGGATTATATCACATTTTCGTTCGAATCGTGACAACGACGCACTGTTTGCTATCATGGAAAATTCGTTGTCTTATCCTTAAAAACGTAGGTTTCCCTTTTGTGCCCAGAATGGCGGATGAACGCACGCCTGTCACAACAGACGTTTCAAACCTTGCTCTAATTTAGGTGTCGTACTCTCTGTAGGAATACTGTTTATCACTAAATATAATATCACTATATATTCACTTTGAGGCTTATTTAACCGTTCAAGAAATAAGCAATAGACAATCTTCTCCGTTGATAAACAGGGGATGAGGCAGAAAGATACCGATTTGCAATTTCATGAGAGGCAGCACCCAGTTTCCTTGTGAAGACAGAGGAGACTTCAACTCGTAGGTGTAAAGATAGTACAATCAGCCCAATACATTTTTTGAAGTCCAGATGGGTGCAAACTGGTTCATTAGCGGGCTAACTAAATTCTCAAATGTCTGGTATTAAACTTCAGCTGAGCGAGTTGTCGTAATAGGTTGAAAATAAGAAAAGAAGAATATCATCAGTGCGTGATCGATCAACAAGCATAAGTCATATTTTATGATTGTTTACTTTGCAAGCATCTAAACGTTTGACGCGTTCCGCCACCCAACACGCAGTGCCGCGATGTGTTTTCATTCCACTCCAATTTGACGAACATAATATGACTCAGTATCGTGTACTATAAATATAAAGGAAGCTGATAACGGATATTATGAGTATGGATCTCACTGCTTCAGCACAATACACATTGCTATAGGCTCAAAACCTCGACGAACATCACATTTCCGTTTTATCTACTCAAATGGAGAGCTACTCTAATATCATAATCGGGAAAAAAACGTCTACCGACTCTACCTGCTATTAGAACCTACAGCGGCAAAGCATGACGTAACATGGTTAGTGACACCAGCCGATACCCATGTTTCTCTTGTTCAATAAAGCAATATTTACTCTGTCGAATACTATTATCTTCATTATAAACAAGGTAGTTTTTTAAATAATCGAATTCGAGATAACATATATTAAAAAGTCTGGATAATCCTTATAATTTTAGGCAACATATAACAGTTCGAACACAATAGACCTGTTAGTTATTAATTATATTGTGTAAATTATACATAAATATTGACATAACAATGTGACACAGTTTATAACATATTTTATACAACATACATTTCTATTGCAGTAGTGTGTGTACTGTATTGTAATATATTTTGCTGGGAGCCAGCCGTCTGATGGAATGTCTAACGGCGATACCGGACGTAAAACGCGAAAGACAGAACTTCGAACCCAGGTAGAGACGAACCTCGTTTCATGCTGGGAGCCGGCTGTCTGATGGAATGCCTTACGGCGATACCGGACGTATAGCACGAAACATGGAGGCAAAACATAGAATACACTTCATAAATATTGATGCTAATAATTTGAGATTTCTGATTCCTTCTGATTCCTGAGATTGCTGATTGAACAATCGTGCCATTATTTTTCAGCTTATTCGAAACAGGATAAAAAAGCATTTGGCCGTTGACAAACTTAAGCAAGAGTATGCATTCCCTTGGAAATAGGGGCAAATTATTTATTATCTTGTACCCGCATTCACTTAATCGTTATGAAAATATATATCCACAAAAACTTATAAACAATAATATTAATGAGTTGCAAAATCAATTGTTAAAAACTAGTTCAGTTTTTGCAAAACGATATCGCTCTGTCTTATGGCTCTTATGGAAAATCGTCTTACGGCTCGATGGTAATATTACAATTAATCAAAAACGGCATGGTGCTTCAAATAATTTTCTGGACGTAAGTTATAAATATTGTTGGACCACATGAATAATAAAAATTTAATAAAAAATACAGTAAATACTTAGACGAAGCAAAACTTTTTTTTGATATGTACAATTTGTGTACTACAACTATGAATTTTAAATTAATAACGAGCCAGTTCGAATTTATACGTAATGCAGAGAAAAAAATTTGAATGACAACAAAGACTTTGTCTCAAACGTCTAGCAACGAATAACCATATTGTTATATACGGTCAAATTTATTTTTTTTGTAACTTTGTTTAATAAATATGCTTGACAACACAATGATGTTTCGGCGAATATGATGCGATCCCATTATATTAACTATTCTTGAATTGGTACAAGCACGTTTTTTTACTTTAGTTTTGGACCTATCATTTTTTGTCCTGCAACGACTGAGGTCTTTGACGCCAAAATGTACTTCTCTCGTACAACGAAATCTTCGACACTCTCCTTCAATAGAATAAATCACCTAAGAAACTATCATCGGAAATTTCGCGTATTAACCCGTTTGCTTCACGCTAATTCCAAATCGCAGCAAATTTCATTAATGTGTAACACACCCAACCAGAGGGAGCAACATGATTTCGAGTACAAAAATTCTCGTTTAGCTTTTTGCTAGCAGTATCTCTTGTTTGTTGTTGTTGATGGACGCGTCTTATCCATTATGGTAGCGCAATCGATTCAAATTTCCCCGCCTTCTGGAGCAGGTGGTCTCCACCAGAGGGCACTGCTGGGCCACAACAGTGATCAACAACAGTGTTGAGAGACGCTCTGTGACAACAGTGTGCGGTGTTCCAACGGAATTAGTTGAATTTTGTTGATCGCTACCATCGGCTGAGTGTACTCTGACCCTCCGTGGGTCCTTCCGCACCTGGAATACCAAAGCAAAGTGAAGTGAGCACCTGCACTTAATATCTGTGGGATTTGTGCTTTCAACCAAACGGATACTATTCGCAACCCCTGCTCCACCGGATAACCATATCATAACAATAATATACCGAGCAAAGACGCGGCTATTGGGTACGTGTTCCTCATCTTACCGCACATCCCACCTTGATAACTAGTATAATTCCACATTCATTAGGTTTAGATATGATGGGTGAACAAATTTCCAAACGGTGCGTGGCGTGCTGTGTCCTATTTTCATACCGAGAAGCATCTTTCGGTGGCTGTTTCTCTTCCAAGATGGCGGCCGAACCTTTAGTTTAGTTAGGCCTAGTGCGAATTTGCATTCGTTATTCTTCCACTTCGCGCAGAATCTGCGTTCGTTGTTTGTGTAGGAGCTATTTCAGATCACCTAGTTGACTCGTAGTTCTCATCTTAGACCAAACATCACGTAAACAAACCGTACCAAGTCTCGGGGCTTGAGGCGCCCCTGTATTGTTTTCAAACGGGCGACCCCCACTTGTCAAAGTGAACTGAGCGGTTGGCCGGCCAACGCTAGACTGCTTCCCACAGGAGCTCGTTTCGACTGCTCTGAAGGCTTGTGAAATATATCAATGAAGCAAATGGGTACTTTCGTCGACGTAAGATCTACTGGTTGTCATGTTTGGGTCGAAATTTGTTGTGCTGTTATTAGCGTTAGTTATACCCACTCATCTTCCTTCTCGTAAACAGACGAACCAACTCAAGCGATCCGCCGGTGAGGTTCCTATTACCCGCCTTGTTGTTTTTAATTAGCCTTAGGCGCCCCTTCCTTGGTGTTATGTACTCGGTTTATAACTTCACATCCAGAATGGACCATCAGTGCTTCCTGGGTACCTAGACACGTTTAGTGTTGTGATGGGATAAAGGAAAATTCGGTGATTAATTTTGCAGTGGCCAACTTCTAACTGTTTAAATGAACATATTCGATATGTATACATGTATGACTTGCTAAGCATTCTATAAGCTGAGTGGGGACTAATGTTCAGCTGTCTGCTAAGTTACTCGAATTGTAGCGGGCTACGGCTCACGTACTCGTTGAATATTAGCAAGTCTGTCCTGTAACTGTTCACTATTCAAATACGGTAGTACTTTACGACCGTCTCTGCCATTAATACCGCTGCGTGTTATTACTGTCACGATTGCTACATTATACAGCGAGGCTTTGGTGCGTGTTGTGAGAATGCGCTACATGCTCGCTCCCTCCCCCTGTGCATCGTACTGATTGCTTGCTATTTTTGAAAAACACGATGTTTATATCATCTTCGATCCGTTCCGTTCGTTAATTCGGTTTTGGCTGTATAGTAGCGTCAACTCGTGTGCTGAGTGACAAAGAGGTGGATATATACCGGTAGCTTGAATTGCGACGTTGGTTCTGCCCGGGGATATTGGGCCAGCGACAGTGAAGTGAACAGGCTGCTGCTGCTGCGGACATCGAGTGGAGCTCCCGGTTCGGCTCTGCCCGTTCATCTGTCGGACTCTCCTTTCATTTGACGGCTCTACGGCAGCGGCGCCCGCTGCTGCCGGCGGACCATGGGGTGAACGAACGGGCTAGCGCCGGGAACCGTGATGGTACCGCCGCCAGTAGCAACCAGTTCATCGTGTATCCATCAGCCAAAAAGCCAAAGAACGGAATGGCAAACGGCAGCACAGGACAGCTAGCTAGCGGATAAGTACAGCACTCGGCTGACTGTCTGGGCATGGCGATGTCTCCACGGGTCCAATCCGCAACCATTGATTGATTTCACTGGTTACTTCCGGAGATCCGAACACCGCTCAGGACTCCAACGCCGCCAGTATCGAAGCTGTTTTTGTTAGCTTTCGGTTGCTGTCGCTTGCAGCAGTGTCAAGTGGAAAGGGAAAAACAACCCTCAACGAGAATCGAGTTACTGTTTTTGTGAGTGAGGATGCATGACTGTTTGAACAAGTGTGTGTGTGTGTGTAATGTTTGTCAGTTCGTAATCGTAGATGTTTGTAAGTAAACTTATACGCTATAAACTGGCCGATATCTTGTATTTAATAAGAAAACAACGGGAGGGCTATAGAGGCCTTTTTATCGCTTAGCATGCACAGGTTCCTTACGTTCATTGGTTGAATAATTGGAAGTTAAGACTGTGGACTCCACTAGAAATTCGGAATCCGGGGTGTGAAACATTTCTACGCTATAGAACTGTATGGTTTGTCACAACAAGGTTGATAGAGGAACACAAATTAAGACTCTTAAAAACAGAACGTGATTCTTAAATAACAACCTGTAGCATTGGTAAACGGAACAGTTAAAGAAATATGGTACCTTGAATTAAACATAGGTTTACGATGTCGCTACAATAGTCTGAATATTCTTTGAGAATTCTGATTGGTTGGTATCAAGTAGTTTGTTATGACATTATATCGACTGCGTGAGAAACAGTTTTTGTAGCTATTATCTCGGTGAAAAAATGTATTGTACGTATTTATATCCACAACAGTTACTTGCTTGAGTATTTCATGTGACGACCAGGTAGTGTCTTTTAGTTTCGTTTTATTGCACACAGACTGTTGTGCAAAAATTTTCTTTATAGTGTCCACGTGTGGTTAAATTTGATGTTTTATAAGACAGGAAATTTGAGAAATTCTGACTGAATTATAGTAATGTACTCGTACAGCGTAGCTCTATTGTCTATCTCAAAAAATATCACTGACGTGAATTACAGAGGTTATAATTTTCTCGATACTAGAGGCCCTAAATAGACATTTCTTTGTAGTTGTATGTTTTAACAAATGCAATACTCTTTTTTTTTACCAATTGCAGCTTCTACGGCCGGGAAACCGTCAAACACGTTCGTTCCTCAATTACATCAGAATACGCTAACTATTAGATACGTTAAACGTGAGGGTAAGCAGCAGCCGTAGTCGGGTAAAAGAAACCAACGAGTAAAATCCACGCATTCGTTAGCACTACGGTGAACTCCTTTTGCCTATGCAGGGTGGTGGTGTTGCTGCTGCTGAGGCACGGGCCGCGCACAGCATGCTGAAGTGACCGAAGTCTACGACTCTCGTTGGGATGCAATGCACAGACCCCACATAAGGTGGCAGTTGCCTCTCCGCAGTTGCAATTGTCGCATTCATTCTAGCACCAATAGTAACAGGAATAGCAGTAACTTGTTGCTATTGAAAAAGGTCAGCATTGTGCTCATATTGTCTTTGTCCTCTGTGCACGCTGCACGTCAGCGTTGCTTGACGTGTCTCGCTTCTCAGGCTACCATAGCCTCCGACCACAAACCACGACAGCAATGAAGGAAGGCTCCATCGTGCGTCGCGTTTTTGCGTGTTGCTCGTAGCCGTTGAGGCCCCCGTCTGTTGCCGCCGGCGGCGGAGTAGACATCGCTCGCCGCAGCACCCGCCGGCCAGCCTCAAGATGAACGGCGAGGGGCCATCGGTGCCCATCACGACCTTAGCGGCCGTGCAAGGGCTTACCGATCTCCTGAGCGAGCTACCTTTACCGGTCAGCTTGCCAGGCGCCTGTGGGCCCGCTGCTCGGCCGTTAGTAGGACCACACGAAGCCGATGAGGTCCGAAACATTCTCGCGACCGCGAACTACCTCCTACCGCAAGTTATGGAGGCCCTATCAAGGACCAATATCGAAAATCTTGACGTAAGTCCATACACATTACTGTTTAGATCTCTTGAAATTTCATTAAATTTTTGAGATATTCAGTTGTATCTACTTTTAATCTCATATATATATATATATATATATATATATATAAATGGTAAATACGCGTCTTTTGCGTATGTTTTAGATTGAAGATGGCGGTCAGCCTCCACCAGGCAGCGGGATGTCACACATGTTACAGCACCTGTATTCGCAGCAGCCGCAGCTACTAGCTTCACGGTCTGCTACAGGCGTGGGACAGCCGAGCGGTGCTTGGGGTCCCGGTGCCAACCAGTTCAGTTACCCCTCGGCCGGTCAGCCTAATGCATTCCCGCCGCACCATACGCAAGCAAATAACCAGCAGTTCGTGGCACCTCAACAGCAGGCGTCTTATTACCGCCAGCAGCAGCAAACGAACAGTAAAAGCACTAACGGTAGCCAGTTCAACAACAACCAATTCAATCAGCAGGGACAACAAGGTCACTATCCCCCACAGAAGGATCACAGTGTTGCCAATATACTAGAAAATCACCACGGAGGTTATGGGCAGAATAATCTTCCAGGAGGCCATATGAGCGTACTGCACGGTGCACCCCAGTTGCAGCCGCAGCAACATAACTCTATGCAGATGCCACCTGGCGGTCCCATGCTAAATAATTATATGGCACCAACAGCTAATGGTGTTACGGATTCTACAATGCTCGATAAGCACATTAACGATCTTGCGCAAGGCTTTCCTGGAACGCCAATAGATCCTAATCTTCAACCGGCAACCGTTCAAGCGCCCCCAACTCCTACACAGGTTACTCCTGGTACACCCAATACGCCGCAGACAGATAAAACCAACGTACCTCCGAAGAAAAAGTTTCGCTCGCGTGGTAAAGACCCAAAAGCATGGGGCGGGACACCAATTAAAAAGCGAAAAGAACCAGAACTCCGACCGGACGAGCTGTCGACAATGGATAGCCTTATTGCGTCTTCCCTTACTGAACGGGTTAAACGGAGAAGGCGAGGCAACCAGACGAAGTACACGGAAGAAGAAGAAAAGAAGGATGAGCAAGATTCAGAGGGAGCAGTCGATGCAGGCGCTAACGAAGATGGGGACGATTCCGATTTCGAGGGACCGAAGGGTAAGGAAAAAAAGGACAAAGGGGATAAAATCGATGGGACTTCCGGTACTAATAATAAAGAAAAGGCTACGACGAGTCCTAAGAAGAACCATAAAGAGCCGACACCCCCTCCTAAAGAAATTATCATCAAAAAGGCAAAGGTTAAAAAGGTGCGCCGTGAAGCTATACCGGAAGCTATAACAGCTGAGGAGCTTATGGAAAGCACCACTTACCAGAGATTCACGCGACTTGTCGAGAAAATCTTCGATGCTATGGAAGACGTAGACTTAGCCCAGGCCGTCGACGAGGAAGATACCTGCCCTGAAGAATTCCTAATCCCTCATAAAACTCTAAAAGAGCTAACTGATGAAAGCGCCAAGCTCAAAGTCTTGCGGGCTATCAACCAGGTTCCTGCAGACAGACTTGTTCGGTAAGGCTCCTTTGTAAACTTATGCGACATTCATTATTGATTGCTCGTGGTTTCCTTATATATAATACTTTGACCATTTCTTATATTTTTCTTTTAAATGAGTTAACAGTAGTAATCGACGGCAAGCTTCTGCAGTACACACCTGCATGCTTACATGTTATTTCCTGTTTTTATGGCGGGTTTAGGGTCAATTTGACTGATACATCATCGGCGTCATTAACTTTTCTATCATACTACGTTTGTATAATGAAGCAAAGATGTTTCTAATTTGACCTCCGGTAGTAATTTTTCTAGTGGGCCTGTAGTACAAAACGATTATCCTTACACTACATGTACCCGTCGGTTTTTTTAGAGTAGGGACAGTAGCCCACCTTTGCTGTCGGAATTTGTCTTCTTCTCAAGATAATTATTAGTAACGCAGTGACTTGCTAAGATTCCAAGGTTCCTGTCTTCTAATGCATGATTAACAGTGTTGCTGTCTTTTTTGTGCTAGAGCCTCTCCTATTTTCTATCAGGGAGTAACATCGTCAAAAATGTGTACGGACGAAACTATTATAGTATATACAATTAACGATTAGCACTTTAGTTAATTTTATAATCGCATTAAAGAGTCAAGTCTGACATTGGCGGGTTATTGATCTTACAATTATGCGTAAGAAATCTAACGTCCTTCCTTATTTTCTTTTTGAGTGAAGTCTTAGCCGCTCATCCTTTTAGACAGGCCATGGTACCTTTTGCTCAACACACATATCTACTTCGCAGGCCGCAAATCAGATTCTCGTGTCGCGGAGAAATAACAGACACAAGTGTTTGCAGGTTGTAAAATGTTTGAATACAACTTAAAGCTAGAATGGAACAAGCGTTCAGTAAGAATCGATTTGTCGTTGCAGGTTGCTGACCATTTTGGAAAGAAATATTTTGGATGGCTGTCGCGTATGTCTTAGCGGCGATCATGATGAAGATGAAGGGGCCGCCCTAGAACTAATGATGGACAAAATTCAACGAAGTGCAGACAGCTCGTTGACGGCTCTGTATATCATGACAGCAGCCGATATGCCTGAGAAGGTCTTTCTGGAGGACGTGATTGAGCGGATAGTGACGTTTGTTAAGTTCCAAGTCCAGAACACCATCTTTCCAGCCTTTGATCCAGCGTACCGGATATCAAAGAAGGATGAAGAGTCTACAGCGTCACTTAAACAAAAACGCTATTACTCGTCTATGAAATCGCGCAGTCAGAAGAATGTTACGCAACTGTATAATAAGCTTCATGAAGCAGTGGGCCTGTTGGCTGAACTACTGAAATTGCAGTCGCTAACGGATACTATCGTGTTGAAGGCGTCCAGCCTGGGTGTGAGCCCTTTCTTTGTCGAAGGCGTATCTGAGCTGCAGCTAAATGCTCTGCGTCTGGTCACGGCCATCTTCACTCGGTACGTGCCGCATCGTCAACTTATCCTTGAAGACATACTCGCATCGATAGCACGTTTACCCACTTCGAAACGAAGCCTCAGAAATTATCGACTGAATTCAGAGGAACAGATTCAGATGCTTACCGCGCTGGTAAGTACATTCGATTCCGTAAATATTTTGATGTTAATATTCTCAATGATTTGTAACATACTGAGTAAGGATGGTCTGTCTTTGCTTTTTTGATTAAAGGTAAAATAGGTTCATTGACACAAATAAATTGACACACGTTTCTAGCTTATTTGAAGTAAAAGATCTACCCAGAGAATTTTCTACTTTATGGATTATTTATTTATGGAGTGGCAAGGAAAGGTGCCTTATAACACGGTCAGCGAAAGTTAGAAGTCTTAATAACCAGTAAGTAAGAACAAATTCTTGTTGTATTCAAGATATGAAAGCTTACAATCTTTTTATAATATATAGTAAGTTATCATATAACTTATACATAACAAAATATAAATAACATATACATATATGTTATGTATATTTCATGGTGTAACTGTGAGAGCCGCTAATTTACACAATATGACCATACTTTAAAGGGTAACACAGCCATACCTTTGTGCTATTTCATTGTTTTAATAAATACTTCCGGCTAAGAAAATCTTTAATTCAAATCCCACCAGCAACATGTGGTACACCGTGAGTGCGATGAAATTTAAAACACATTTTATATAATATAAAGTTAGAAAGATAATATTGAAAATCGAACCAGTTGTTTGTAGGTCTTGGAATTCGTGCTTAAACTCGTTTAAGAAACTATAGTCATATTCCGTATCCGAAAATTCTTGGCTCCAAATTTATAATGTAATTATCGTTTATTCAGTAGGTAACATGTATTTGCAGAACGATAAAGTAAAACATACCTGAAATGTCTTTAACGCCGAGTAAATGATCTTCCATAAAACAGTTTTTCCATAAAAGGGACATAATTTCTAAGCCGATTTTTTCAATATCTGGCACTTGTGGAAGACTATGTGAGCAATAAAGAAACGATTATAAAAATGCATTTTTTCATAGCGAGAAACAGATTCCTTATTTCGGCGTATTTGTCCTCAGCATTGAGGACGATTATATTCTACAATTACGAGCTTCGCGCAGGTGTTTTTTCTGTACTAGGACTTGTTTTGACGACACCAATGTAAACAATTATTGAAATGCTATGTAAAGCCGAACTCGGTGGGGAAACATATTTTTTTAATAAAATTTTTATCAATGTTTCAATTGGTACGCATAGTAGCGTAATGCTTCGAGGCTCTCTCATTTCACCATTAATGTGCAGCTCTAGCAATAGACCAGTAAAATTTTTGAAAATGTTTTCGCACTGCTTTGTACTAGTCATGTCGTTTTCAAAATATTTCTGCATCACAGTGCTGCAACATTCATAATATTGAAATACTGAATGTCCATTTAAAACGCAAATTACTTCATACATTATTTCGGGCAAACCCGTTTTAGAAAAGTGATCGGGAGCGTTAGGATCGTTTTTTTTTCAGTATACGCACAGCTATGTGCAAAATGTTCATCGCTGTAAATTGTAAGCTAATAATGATAAATTCATGTGAAATATATAATTTCATTCCAAATATGCATCCGGTATCGACTCAGTAAACTTGAATTAACATGACGTTGTTATAGCCTTGCAAACGTTCAGAACTTAAGCGAATTCATGATGGAAATATTTCCTAAACGCGACTGTGTGTAAACAAAATAAGCTTACATATACTTAAAAAAAAAATTTGTAGAAATAGAAAGAATAGTGGCGTCTGAACAGGAGCAATGGACTTGTAAACATACAAATAAATGCTGCAGCATCGCCTATTTCCGCTGTCATAGATGACATATGGTATTGATCTAGAAGTTACATTTTTACCATATAACCGTCATTTAAGTCTGTTTTAATTGCCAGTATCACTCAGTGTGTTTCTTTGTTTGGTTTAGGTTCTCCAACTGATTCACAGCGTAGTTAGACTGCCTGCGGTGGAAGCTACGAAGAAAGAGGATAAAGAAGACAGTCCCGAGAAGAAAAAGCCTGCTGGCAGTGCGATTAGTCGGGATAAGGATAAGGAAAGTGGAACCGAAAAGGAGGAATACAAACCTCTTGATGAGGTGGTGCTGATGACTTCGTATGACGAGGCACTTCGAACTGCTGTGAGTTTTCTCTCGGTCTTTCTCAAGAAGTGTGGAGTCAAACACGAGGAGATGGATTACCGGTAAGTCGGACATAATTATGTTCAAATGTGAAGCTTGCGAAATTAGTGCCTCGCGTGTGAAAGCGTAGGTTTTTCTGAAGAAATCCTAGGGACCCATCTAGGCTGTTGGATTTTGTGCCTTAGGCACGATATATA